CCCTAGAAGTAAAGAAGAAGAAAAAATGGGCTTGTATTGCTGCATTCCTTTCGCATTTGACTTTTTCTTTGCTGTGCGTAGAGAGCATGGCTTAGTGGTAGGGTTTTCTGTTTTTTGTTTTGGAAGGGGTGTTAGGTGGACTGGCAAGGCCAAAGTCATGTTTACACCACAGGTCTCAACTTGCAGCCAGTTCTGGAGCCCACAAAGAACTGGGTGCTCCACCCATGTTTTTGGCCTGTGTGTATCCTTTCAACCTCCCTCCCTCCCACGTTGCTGCTCCGTTCCTGGCCAGCTGTGGAACACACAACAGGGGTTGCCTAGCAACCGCATCAGTCCCTCCCAGTTGGGGGGAGGCCCGCAGAGAAGCAGCAACCACATAGGTGGAAACCTTGAAACCTTGACATTCTGGAGCCCCCAGCTGAATATGGCCTGTCTTCCTTCTCCTCTTTGAAATCATTTTTATTTGATTTTACAATTGCAAGTTTATGACAAAGAGAATTGCAAAACTATATACAGTGGTACCTCTGGTTGTGAACGGGATCCGTTCCGGAGTCCCGTTCACAACATGAGCAGAATGCAACCAGCATCTGCGAGTGCACGGGTCACAATTCGCCGCGTCTGCGCATGCGCATGAAGTCATTTTGCGCATCTGCGCATGTGCGAGCGGTGAAACCCGGAAGTAACCCTTTCCAATACTTCCGGGTCGCCACGGGATGCAACCTGAAAAAACGTATCATGAAGCAAACGTAACAAGAGGTATAACTGTAAAGAGAATTCTCTGAATCTCCAGACTTCGCCCCCCCCATCCCCTCCGTGAGTTCTTATGTCAACATAGGGATGCGGGTGGCTCTGTGGTCTAAACCACTGAGTCTCTTGGACTTGCCAATCAAAAGGTCGGCAGTTCGAATCCCCGCGACGGAGTGAGCTCCCGTTGCTCGGTCCCAGCTCCTGCCTACCTAGCAGTTCAAAAGCACACCAGTGCAAGTAGATAAATAGGTACGACTGTGGCGGGAAGGTAAACAGTGTTCCCGTGCGCTCTGGTTTCTGTCATGGTGTCCTGTTGCACCAGAAGCGGTTTAGCCATGCTGGCCACACAACCTGGAAAACTGCCTGCAGACAAACGCCAGCCACCTTGGTCTGAAAGCAAGATGAGCGCTGCAACCCCATAGTTGCCTTTGACTGGACTTAACCATCCAGGGGTCCTTTACCTTTACGTTTTTTACCTACGTCAACATTTACAATGGCGTATCAATCCGTTATCCAAATTTTTGGTCCATCTGAATTATCCTTAGTCTTTGTTACCTTACAAGTGAGATGAAAATCCTGCTAAAGTTTTCATCTGCTTACAATGGTCTCCTGAGCACATTATAAATTGTTCCCATTCTTTTTTTAAAGTTCTTGTCTTCTGTTGTCTTCCTTTCCCCATCTTTGTGTCCCAACCCCCCTGTTTCCAATAAGGAAGCGTGTTTTCATGATGAAGCCTCGCAGACACAAACAGTCTTGTGCAAAATGTTTGCTCTTGGGACCACAACAGAAAGCATTTTAGCCTCAGCTGCAGTTCTTTTCGTGAAAGGTGGCCCTCACGCGGTCCAGTTTTATGCTACCTATTTTTGCACTTCCAATTTTTGCTTGTCCGGTGAACCATTCAATTTCTCCTTTCCTGTTTTCATTTCTACACTCCCGTCTTGTGTGCTTGCACCTACATTTATCCTTTGCAAGCCACTTTAGTCTAAAAATTGTTTGTGTGTGGGGCGAGGGAAGGAAGCAAGGTATAAATATGTAAACTGAAAGAGCTCATAGCCTCTGGGTGTGACCTCTCAAACTGGGCACCAAAAATAGATGTGGTCTTGTCTAGTGGGGCAGCTGTAGACATCTCAGTGGTTGAGGCAGAAACCTCTTTTCTGCAATCAAGCGCTACATTGTTGTTGTTTAGTCGCTTAGTCGTGTCCGACTCTTTGTGACCCCCTGGACCAGAGCACGCCAGGCACTCCTGTCTTCCACTGCCTCCCCCAGTTTGGTCAGACTCATGTTTGTAGCTTCGAGAACAGTATCCAACCATCTCGTCCTCTGTCGTCCCCTTCTCCTTTTGCCCTCCATCTTTCCCAACATCAGGGTCTTTTCCAGAGAGTCTTCTCTTCTCATGAGGTGGCCAAAGTCTTGGAGCCTCAGCTTCAGGATCTGTCCTTCCAGTGAGCACTCAGGGCTGATTTCCTTCAGAATGGAGAGGTTTGATCTTCTTGCAGTCCATGGGACTCTCAAAGAGTCTCCTCTAGCACCAGAATTCAAAAGCATCCATTCTTCGGCGATCAGCCTTCTTTATGGTCCAGCTCTCACTTCCATACATCACTACTGGGAAAACCATGGCTTTAACTATACAGACCATAAGCGCTACATAAATTGTATGAAATAAATAAGTACAGTCCAAATTACTGACTCCTTTCCACTAACAGCCATGGGAAATTAGTGGAGAATTGGTGGCTATTAGCCATGATGACCATGTCCTGCTTTCACTGCCAGAAGCGGTATTCCTCTAAATACCACTTGCTAGGAGTGGGGTTGGACTAGATGACCCCCAGGATCCCAACTCTACCATTCTTAAGAAGCGGCTCCTAGGATGCTTTGCAAAACCTTGTTTCCACCTCTCTCCACTTTAAACAAGTGTTTTCTGTCTCCTGCTTTTGATGGGTTGACTAAACGGTTCTCCCTTTCCCCCCGACATACTTTTAAATATTTAAAATACTCAGTACATTCCCTCCCTAGACTAAACATCCCCAGTTCCTTCTGCCTGCCCTCATACTGTTTGTGCTCGGTTCTCTGAAAATATCCTTCTGGAATGAAGAGTCGATTCTGTGGCTTCTCTGAAGGCCAGGAGGTGCCACCTGGCTTATATTTGTCTCTGGTTTGGCACTCACTGCTTGTAGGATGAAGCCTTCCATGTTTGCATTTCCAGATTTGAGCCGGTCTTTCAACTGGGTCAAGAGGTTAGTAGGCTCTGGTGCCTCTGAATAAGATTGTAGGGGAGGAATATGTGATAGTGGTCAAGAATTATCTCCATGTCTCATTTCCTCCCGATTCATTTCTACACATTTTTGCGGTGTGTCCATTTATTTGTTGTTGTTGTTGTTTAGATGTTTAGTCGTTTAGTTGTGTCCTACTCTTTGTGACCCCCTGGACCTGAGCACGCCAGGCCCTCCTGTCTTCCACTGCCTCCCCCAGTTTGGTCAAACTCATGCTGGTAGCTTTGAGAACACTGTCCCACCATCTCGTCCTCTGTCATCCCCTTCTCCTTGTGCCCTCCATCTTTCCCAACATCAGGGTCTTTTCCAGGGAGTCTTCTCTTCTCATGAGGTGGCCAAAGTATTGCAGCCTCAGCTTCAGGATCTGTCCTTCCAGTGAGCACTCAGGGCTGATTTCCTTCAGAATGGAGAGGTTTGATCTTCTTGCAGTCCATGGGACTCTCAAGAGTCTCCTCCAGGACCAGAATTCAAAAGCATCAATTCTTATGTTCTAATAAACACATTTTTGTGCAATGTTTTGATTAGGAATGGGTGATCCATCTGTTTTGGTTTTCCCCAGGTTCTCATTTTTCTTGTCCCCTCCAGCCAGCTGAGGTAGGAAAAGGCCCACCCACTTGTTTCCACGGCAACCGAGCAAACTCTTTGGATATGTTCATGGTACTTGTCTAGCCAGCCAAAGCCATTACCTCGACAAAGCAGCTAATTTGGCAGGCTTCTGCTTATGCATTCTACCCTCACAGAAACAAGATTGCAGGTTTGGAAGGGACCCAGACTCAACCCCCTCCTCCCCCCAAAAATTCGTAACAATATGCAATTTTGTCTAAGATGCAAAGTTCAGGAGAACTGCATTGCAAAATTCAGAGAAGTGCAAATTTCAAAGGAGAGCTGTGCTCTGCTTCTTGCATTGCATTCAAACGTGTTGATTAAGAAGGTCTGCCTCTCAAGGCAGAATCTTATCCCTTCCCCTTCTCTAGACTTTGAGTTTAAAAGGGTTTAGTATATCCCTCTTTGAGATCATCTCTTAAAATTCGCTTGTCCTTTAATCTCGGCTTATTTGCCAGGGTCAATGATTGGCAGCTCCAGGGATCCTGCCAGCTTCCCACTCCAGAACGCCCACAAACCTCAGCTGGAGTCAATTACAGTGTAGAGAGTCCAGTCCAGGCTCCAAATTGCCAATCCAGAAAGCAAACCTGATTATTAAGCAATTAAAAGGAGGAGGCGGGCAGGACGGACAGTGCAACCTGGTCCTTTTGGCCTTCTTCAAGGATCTGGACATTTTGAAACAGCTGGGCAGCAAAAACCCCAAGGAGCTTCCAGCCTTCTGTGATCTTTACTTCACACCCCCAGAGATTCAGAACTTGGGAAGCAAAGAGGCCGTCCCCAAACTCTGCTAGGAAGTTAGGCTTGAGATGAATTCATAGATGTGCTTTCCAAATTTCTCTATGCATGCCTCGTAAACGGTTTTATTTTAGGTGAAACCATTTCTAAACCGATGAATGTTTAGAACTCTGCAAGAGGTACTCAACAATGCAATGCGAAAACAATGAAACACTGCCATAAAAAATCAATTTTATAGTGGGTTTTCACTGCGGTTAGCCATCCCGACGGGCATGGAGATACCAGGGGGGCGGGATATGGATTTTTGCATAAATAAATAGCAGGCACTAAATGAAATTAAATAACTGACAATTTGTGTCATTCATAGCCACGAATAGCCTTGTCCTCCATGAATTGGTCTCATCCTCTTTTAAAGCCGTCCAAGTTCGTGCTCATTACTGCTTCCTGTGGCAGGGAGTTCCATAGTTTACCTACTTGCTGCAGGAAGAAGGATTTTCTTTTATCAGTCCTGAATCTTCCCACATTTACCGTATTTTTCGCTCCATAAGACGCACTTTTTCCCTCCTAAAAAGTAAGGGGAAATGTCTGTGCGTCTTATGAAGTGAATGCTGCGCGGAGGAGGGACGTGTAAGAGGCTCCTGTCCTCTTTGCTGCTTTAAAGTGAGCCACGGAGGAGGGAAGGAAGGGGAACCATGGCTCTCATCCGTCCTTCCTCCGTGGCTCACTTTAAAGCAGCAAAGCGGACAGGAGCTGCCTGCTTTGCTGCTTTAAATAGTTTAGTACAACATTTGATTCAGAATTTTTTTTTTTCATGTTTTCCTCCTCTAAAAACTTGTTGTTGTTTAGTCGTGTCCGACTCTTCGTGACCCCCTGGACCAGAGCACGCCAGGCACTTCTGTCTTCCACTGCCTCCCCCAGTTTGGTCAAACTCATGCTGGTAGCTTCGAGAACACTTTCCCACCATCTCATCCTCCATCGTCCCCTTCTCCTTGTGCCCTCCATCTTTCCCAACATCAGGGGCTTTTCCAGGGAGTCTTCTCTTCTCATGAGGTGGCCAAAGTATTGGCGCCTCAGCCACTGGCCCATGTACAGGGAGACATGTACTGAGGGATATATGGTTTCCTCTGTGCCTTGAGATGCCTTCTTCATCTCTCCCCAGTTTCCAGGCCTCAGAGCTCTCCAGAAGACCTGAAGGCGCTAACGGGGAACGTCAACCGGTTAAACGAAAGCTTCCGGGACCTCCAGCTGAAGGTTCTTCAGCAACCATTCAAAGGGGACTTCCTGGACCATATCTGGCGTCTGCAGGACCTTCTCCAGAACCACTCCGACTCTCTCCTGCTGATGACCAGCTCCCTTCAGAAGCTGGAAGGGGCCCTGGGGAGCCTGCGGTCCCAAGCGGATCAGACGGACCGGGCGGTCTCCGGCCTACGGGAGGCTTTGAACCAGCAGAGCGACTTGGCACAGATGGAGATCTACAAGGTCTCCGTGGAGGGGAACAGCAGCCGTCTACTCCTGAAGCACCACGAGGGCTTGCTGACACAGCTGGCGTCCCGGGTGGAGGGCTTGAGCGACCAGCTGACCATGGTGGGTGGGGAGGTGGGCAACATGAACCGGACCCTGTCCTACGACGTGGGCATCCACCACACCCGCATCCAGGACCTGCAGGTCCTGATCAGCAACGCCAGCGAGGACGCCCGCCAGATGCGCCTCGTCCACATCGCCATGGAGCAGCAGCTCAAGCACGAGTTGGCCATCCTCAACAACGTGACCGAGGACCTGCGACTCAAGGACTGGGAGCACTCCATCGCCCTGAGGGACATCTCGGTCATACGAGGTAGGGGTGGAGCAGGAAAGGCCAGCCGAGCGGGCAGGGGGATGCTCAACAAATTTGCAGGGGACAAAATAGAGGGTGGGGGAGGCTATTGGTTTGGTTTGGTTCTATTATGTGTTCTATGCCAGGGCATGCGCAGAGTGCCCATCGCAATGCCAGCAGAGTGTGCCAAAAGAACACAGCAACACCAAACCGTTCTAGGAAGAGTCAGTTGATTTACTGACAGTATAATACAGTTTCACACAGCTGTAGATGCAGTCTCCTTGCAGCATGTAGACGATGCTCTGAAGCTTGCCTCAACCACATCAGCATTTATACTGTATGTTGTGCTGAGTCATTCTCACATGCTTGCTGACTCGTTCTCACATGCTTAACTAGCTGCAGGTGCAGGATGAGGCACGGCCAAATTAAACAGCACACCAAAATCAGCCCTCTCTCGTCCCTTTTCCTCTGCATGCATAAAACCCCCATATAAATTAACATTTAATACTACTACTACTACTACTACTACTAATAATAATAATAATAATAATTTATTTATGCCCCGTCCATCTGGCTGAGCTTTCCCAGCCACTCTGGGCGGCTTCCAACAAAATATTAAAATACCGTAATGCATCATACATTAAAAGCAGGGCTTTTAAACAGGGCTGCCTTCAGATGTCTTCTAAACGTCTGGTAGTTGTTGTTCTCTTTGACATCTGGTGGGAGGGTGTTCCACAGGGTGGGTGCCACTACTGAGAAGGCCCTCTGCCTGGTTCACTGTAACTTGGCTTCTCACAATGAGGGAACCGCCAAAAGGTCATCGGAGCTGGACCTCGGTGTCCAGGCAGAATGATGGGGGTGGAGACGCTCCTTCAGGTATACTGGATCGAGGCCGTTTAGGGCATTCAAGGTCATCTTTTCATCTTGTATTTTTATGCTGCAAATCACCCTATGGATGAAGGGTGGTATACAAATTTAGCAAATAATGATAATATGTAAATGATGATAATTGGGAGGGGCAGCTAATAACTCAGGAGCTAGAATCAGGATTCCAGATGACTTTAACAGATTGCAGAACTAGGCCAAAACTAAGAGAATGAAATTCAGTAGGGGCAAATGTCAGCTTCTACCCATAAGCAGAAAGAACCAGATGCACAAGTATAAGATGGGGAACACCTGACTTGACAGTAGTACATGTGAAAGAGATCTAGAACAGCCTTTCTCAACCTGTGGGTCCCCAGATGTTGTTGAACTACAACTCCCATCACCCCTATCTAGCAAGGCCAGAGCTCAGGGATGATGGGAGTTGTAGTCCTACAACATCTGGGGACCCACAGGTTGAGAAAGGCTGCTCTAGAGGTCTTGGTGGACCACAAGCTGAACATGAGTCAACAGGGTGAAGCAGCAGCAAAAGAAAAGGCTAATTCTATTCTAGGCTGCATCAAGTGAAGTCTAGGGTCCAGATCAAGGGAAGTCATAGTCCTGCCCTATTCTGCCTTGGACGGACCACACCTGGAGTCCTGTGTCCAGTTCTGGGCACCACCATTTAAGAAGGATATTGACAAGCTGGGAAATGTACAGAACAATGTGACCAAGATGGTAAAGGATCTGGAAACCAAGCCAGATAAGGAATGGCTGAAGGAGCTAAAAAACTGAATTCTTACAAATGTGGAACAGGTATTATTTGGCATCTGTAACAGTCCTAGTTCCGCTGATCAAGTGGGCATATATGAGGGCAAGGTAAAGGTAAAGGGACCCCTGACCATTAAGTCCTGTCACAAACGACTCTGGGGTTGCGGCGCTCATCTCGCTTTACTGGCCGAGGGAGCAGACATTTGCCCACAGACAGTTTTTCCAGGTCATGTGGCCAGCATGACTAAGCCGCTTCTGGCGAATCAGAGCAGCGCACGGAAACGCCTTTTACCTTCCCGCCGGAGCGGTACTTATTTATCTACTTGCAATTGGACGTGCTTTCAAACTGCTAGGTTGGCAGGAGCAGGGACCGAGCAATGGGAACTCACCCCGTCGTGGGGATTCGAACTGCTGACCTTCCAATCAGCAAGCCCTAGGCTCAGTGGTTTAGATCACAGCGCCACCGTAGGTAAAGGTAAATGGTAAAGGTCCCCTGTACAGTTAAATCCAGTCAAAGGTGACTACAGTGGTATCTCTACTTACATGCCCCTCTTGTTAAGTATCCTTGGGGATACACACACGGCAAACCCGGAATTATATTTCCGTGTTTTGCCGCACGCACATGCGCAGTAACGCTCTGTCATGCCATGTGTGTTCCCAGAACAGACACCTCTGGTTGCAGAAACCTCGGGATCCGACCGGAGCTCCAGAACGGATCCCGTCCGCAACTGGAGGTACCACTGTATGGGGTTGCAGCGCTCATATCGCTTTCAGGCCAAGGGAGCCAGTGTTAGTCCACAGACAGTTTTCCGGGTCATTTGGCCAGCAGAACTAAACCGCTTCTGGGGCAACGGGACACTGTGACGGAAACCAGAGAGCACAGAAACACCATTTACCTTCCCGCTGCAGCGGTACCTATTTATCTACTTGCACTGGTGTGCTTCTGAGCTGCTAGGTTGACAGGAGCTGGGACAGAGCAATGGGAGTTCACCCCATTGCGGGGATTCGAACCACCGCCCTTCTGATCAGCAAGTCCTAGGCTCTGTGGTTTAGACCACAGCACCACCCGCGTCCTTTATATATGAGGATAAGGCGACCTCGTTGGTAATATGCATTGTGCGCCATCCAAAAACCTTTAAATGATTTCTGAGTGATCAGGGAGAAAGAGAGGTGGTCTGAGGTGTCACTTCAGGCAAAGGCTTAGTAGAGATTTTCACTGTCGGTATTTGGACCTGTCCCATAAACTCGAGCCACAAAATCTGCCATCCTAGGCAGCCTAAATGGGGTGGGATGGGAGCCATTGCATTTTCCCATCTGGTGGAAACTCATGTGCTCCGTCGATCCAGGAGCTTTCCTTTTGGATGTTGTGCCCAAACCTCTGGATTTCTAATATCGGGATTGGCTTCACCACAAAGGGTTGCCGGAGATTTACTTTAGCAGATGGAGTCAGTGCCCTAAATGGGAAGGCCTCTTGCTTGCATTTTCAGGGTTCGTTGTGGGGACGGATGGGGGGATTGGACCCAGTATCACCCAGAAGCTTGTGGACAGAGGGAATGGCTTGCGGTTCTGTGAATTGGAAGCCTTTTCCACTTGGGACACCCTGGATCCAGCCATATGTGAATCGCCTTGAGATCTTATGACGAAGGGCACTGTCAATAGTTCAAAGGTGTATACCGGCCCTGTATCCCTGAACGAGCATCTCCACCCCCATGGTTCTGCCCGGACACTGAGGTCCAGCTCCAAGGGACTTCTGGCAGTTCCCTCATTGCAAGAAGTGAGGTTGCAGGGAACCAGGCAGAGGGCCTTCTCAGTGGTGGCGCCCGCCCTGTGGAACGCCCTCCCATCAGATGCCAGGGAAATAAGCAACTATCTGACTTTTAGAAGACATCTGAAGGCAGCCCTGTTTAGGGAAGTTTTTAATGTTTGATGTTTTATTGTATTTTTAATATTTTTTTGGAAGCCGCCCAGAGTGGCTTCCATATTATTATTATTATTATTATTATTAGTGCTGGCACAGTAAATGATATGCCACCGCATAATCATTGCACCCCATTTTTTGGAAATAAAAACAGGCATAAAAAATGTGACGATTATGTGATGAATTGCGGTACTGTGATACCTCGGGTTAAGAACTTAATTTGTTCCGGAGGTCCGTACTTAACCTGAAATTGTTCTTAACCTGAGGTACCACTTTAGCTAATGGGGCCTCCTGCTGCCGCTGTGCCGCTTCTGCACAATTTCTGTTCTCATCCTGAAGCAAAGTTCTTAACCCGAGGTAATATTTTTGGGTTAGC